AGCAGAAAATGTTATCTACACTAAGTTCTCAAGATAAAGTAATGAGTGACATTGCTACCAGATGACCGGAAAAAGTCTTGTCAAATTTAAATTCAGGATTTAGAAATACCATTTTTCTACAGTTATGTTATAGTCTTTTTCTTGGTAAACGTTCAATCAAGAGACAATGTTGTATTATGCTTGTGAAAACATATCAATTTTACTAAAAAAATTAAAGAACCGAGCTAGTTGTAAAAGGTCTAAGATATAGATTGATAGTTAAACTTATTCACTCTAAAAGAAAATAGAATAGTTATTCAACTATAAGAAAAGATTTAGTTAGAATACTTTGTCGGATGACCGAGTAGCTACTTATAGACAACACTAATTTTGAATCACGTTAAAGCTTTAATGACCCTATATCTGACTCCATTTGGATCGTATGAATGATTGTTATTGAAATATACAAGTCGCCAATCCTCGTTTATAATCACCAACTTGAATTGCGTTGATGAATAATTAAATTAAATAAGTCGAATACGAGAATGAATTTTTGAGTACGTTTATTTCGTACAATCATTGATCTACAAAGACAATCAGGGAGACGGAGCGAAGAAAGCGAATAAGAGAGAGAGGCGAAACTAAATGATGCGCAGTGAAGAAGGCAAGTGAGCCAACACAATTTAATCAAGAGTGAATAGATATTTATAGTCACACAATAATAAATTACAGATATGTGATGAGTAGGATAAGAAATGCACACACATACGCTTATATGAGAATGGTCAGGATTGATAAGCGAAGGTCAAAATGTGACTCAAGAAGAATGAATAAACTGGTCTATTCGAAATCTATAATAAGCTGTATGGGCTTAACGTAGCAACCGACATTACAAAGATAAAGCAAAACCCCATTGCTACGATGTGTAACTTTAAAGTAGTATTTCTAAATTAGAGAATGTATGAGGGTACTTTAGCGTAAGCTTACTTGACTGGTATAATATTTATGGTCGATTCGGGTATGAAGTTTTAATTAACACGCTTCAACTCAAAATCAAGATAAGTTAAGACATTTATTTTCATGATTTTCAGTTGTGTATATACTTACTCAAAAAAAGAACAGGATAGTTCGCCTATCAAAACTTCAATGCCATAAAAATGAAATATCTTAAGGGACCACTGAATCTTGTCATGCGATGGATGGGAAATTAAATTGATGTGTTGAAGGATTTTACAAAATTGATACTTCACTTATTCTCTTTAAGCCAGAGCTTAAAGACAAATTTAATGTAGGCTTACATGCAAAAAGCAGTGTCTGATAGCATTACAAGTTACTTAAAAACCTGTTCATAGCATTTTCACATTTCAAATGTTATTAGGTTCATGACAGATTTATTTGTTTTTCTGTTTCGCTACAAATTGTAAGTTATTTGTCTAACTCAGTTATTTTTTTTTGAATTAGATGATATTTTAAATGATTACAAGTTTGCCTTCCGTTCACTTACTCATTTCATTTCTCTCTCCCACTATCTGTTTATATTACTTTTGTTGCGTGCTTGGGAACACTGATTATCTTAAGTGATCTAGCATATTATGTTTTCAATTTTTTTAAAAAAAAGATTATCTTCTGATACTTCAATGTTTTGTTTAAACACAATGAATCCAAAAACCAAAGATTCTATGAATGAAGTATCTATTTTTGTGGTTTCTTGCAATTGTTTCATATACTTACTGATTATGAATTCGTCTTTCGACTTAAATAATTTAACCGAGAACGTTCCGATTAAGAATTGAAATTATCATCAATCTATATTGAAGATTTCGTCTCTATTCAAAATAAGTTTCTATGCTATTTCCCGAAACAATAACGAAATCACTTGAGTGATAATATCTTGGTCAAATGTACCGATATCCAGAAAAAAGTTAACATACATAGTTTTATTGTTTAATAACAGTAGATAATACTGTTATTATTTTTTTTGTAGTAGTATGTTAGTTGGATTTCTTCACATATTGTGTTTGAATTAACTAAATCATATTCAGTTAAATCAATGTCAATTATGAATATTTTCTATTGAATCACTAGGCTTTGTTAAGGGGTTTTGCATAAATTAGAAAAATTTAAATCGAATTCCAGGAAAGATTAAGTAAACGTGATTATACTTTATATACAATAACGATATTCGTAAACAATTTTAATCATAATAAGAAACATAAAACTATCCAAGTTTAATAAATTTTGTCATTTAACATTAAGTTAATGTTAAAAACATACTGTACTTCGTTTTCTATTGATGACTTTGACGCAATATAATGAAAAGAAATAATTTTTTAAGTACTTACCCTTCATAAAATTATTGAGAAGTTGGTTGAGTTTTTGAAAACGTTTTCAGGAGGACATTTTATTATTTGAGTCTTAGTTCTTTAAAAACATGTTTCTTTAAAGTACAATAAGTCACAATGTAATAGTCAGAAATGGTGACTTAAATCTTTACTCCGAAAACCTCATGTTTTTTTCCTGCTCTACAGATGAGTAATGTACGAATAATGCCTAATCATTATAATGAACATTGAAAATTAAACAAATATTCCACTTATGAGAAACCATTCTGGAAACATTAATGATTTATGTAAAGCATAGAGGAATTTCGGTGAAATCACGGACTGATCTAAGTTTAAAGATATATCAAAAATCGTCCCATACTAGCATGACGCTCTTCAGCAGTGTACATTAACGACCCCCTTTACCCTCCCCCCCCCAAAATAAACCATGAATAGAACGCAAAGAAATCTGTTTAACATCAAATCCAATGAAGAAAAGTCAAGCATATTTACCAAATGGTTAATTATGTACAATTCAATTGAAACCAATAGTTTACAGATATTTAGATACATAAACCTTGAATGTCATGAAAATTAAGTCATTAGGGTCAATTGAAAACAAAATTTTCATATCTGAACTTTATTTCTTTTATAGGTATTTATTATTGTTATTTCAAAATCATTAGGTTCACTTTTAATTTAGTTTTTGTTTTCTTTTCTCTCTGTTTATTTAATCATAATGTTTAGTAAAGTAAATTGAGATTAATTTATGATGGTTACTATTTTATTAATGTAAACTTAATCAATATCTTTTATTATTATTCGTTAATATTATACGGTTTATAATAACTCCATTAAAGATTTTTGCATTTTGATATGTCTGTTTTACTTTCAAAAATTTGCCATAATTTTTAAAATAACATATATAAGCGAACAATCCTCATCAGGCTTTACTCTAATATACAGTAATATTTATACGTATATACGAAATTATTGAACTAATCAAAACAGTTTATGAGTTCATCAGCTCCTGTGGAGAAAGCTATATTGGGCGCACTACCAGAAAACTGAACCAACGAGTTAGTGAACAACTCCCTTCGTGGTTAGGAAAAAATACTGCCAAGACAATACACAGCTCGGTTATATCACACTTGATCGATAGCGGTCATGTAGTAGACAGAAATAAGTCATTTCAAGTTATTTATCGTATTCCTACTAGTTTCCCTTATGGGTTTGATTTCGTCTATTACACATAGCAGAAGCTATAGGAATTGGAGCTAACAAACCAAGTCTTTGGGTTCATAAGAAATTTGTAACACCCCCATCTCTCCCTGTGCCTTAGTTCATGATTTTATTTGTTATCATTTTCCATACTCTCTCTTTGTTTGCTATCGTTTTTTTTTCTTCATCCCCTGCTACCATTATATTTCATTTCCTCTCAAATGTATGTTTCGCGGTCCAATTACCTGAACAATTCTTATTACGTAATATTATAATTTTTTTATGAATGTTATTTCAGTGTCCATATTTTTCTAACCATTGACCTATTTCCCATTATCTAACATTGATTCAAACCTTGATTATTCTTACCACAACTAGTACACATGTCATCACATAACCAATTTGTACTTTTCCCTTATTTATGTAACCGATTCTACTGTCATCATTGACTCATATACTTCCCTGATTGGTTTAATAGTTTCGTATGTACATCTAATCGAATACAATATTGTTCATTTATATATGTTGCTGTAAATGACAATATGAGAATTTTTCAAAAGTTTGAAATAGCAGTATAAGGTAGAAGTCCATTATTGGTGAAAATAGTGTAATACACTTGTAAAGCTTAACTATTAAGAAAAAAAGAAAATTCTACAAAAATAAAGCATATCCTGATAGAGAAATTTACTTCTTCAACAACAACAAAAAACTCCAGAAAGTAAATTATAATTTCAGTTTATTGCATGTCAAATAGGATTAAAATCTTTTGACAAATAAAATAACACTAAAAGAAAACTATTTAAATAATCTATTCACTCTTAATACATTTAAAAGGATATGATTGTAGATTTCGTGTTATCCTAATAATTTCTATTGATCATTAATTAATAAAGGAATATATCAATTCGCAAGCTCAACTGAAAAAAATTTCTATTCTACATTCTCATGTCATTATTATGCTTTACTCATTTTACCTTGGTAATCTATTCAATGTTACAACTGTTATAAAATAATGTTGATAACAATTTTCATTCTTTGGTAATATATACGTATTTTAATGTTTGTTTTTTCTAGAATTTTCGCATATATATATATATATATATATATATATATATATATATATATATTCACCCCTTCCATCACTATATATGCTTTACATAGTTATTGTTGTTATTCTACTGTTGTTTATTAATATGTTATATAGAGTTTGTAAATTAAGCTAGTAGATGTAAATAATTAATCAAAATGATATCATCTATTACTAGTTGTACATAGAAATCAAACCTTTAAAAAAACGACAGCAAACAGAATTTATTTCCAAAAAATATTGATTTCCAATTTCAATTGTAAACATTCATATTAAATTATGTAAACATTTTAAATTAACTAAAATCTAAATTGAATTAAACACATTCCTAAGTATGTATTTATTAAAAATCTGAAGTTCTGTATTCTAAAAAAAGAAAAAAGGACATTTTGTTATATAGTTTGTAAAGATTCTCTAGATATTTGTTGTTTTGAATATTTAATTCCATTATCTTCAATATTATGTTCATTTTCATCAAAGCTGAAATTCCTACCGATATATTCTTGTTGTTGTTGTCGATGTTGTTGACGATGATAATAATGATGATGACACAGTTTCTTTCTAGCATAATATAATTGATTAGGAATTCTTTCAAGTTTAGAAAAATGATTTATTATTGATGTGAATTTTTCATTACTATCATTACAGAGTTTGTTTATTGATTTAGGAAGACATGTAATATTATTAGTAGTAGTATTATTAATAAATATATCAGAATCATAATTATCTTCATTATTATGATTAATATATATATTACATGAATTATTTAATATAGATGTACATAATCTATATGATATTAATTCCATTGTTGTATTTTTATCTCCAATATTTGATATTTCATTCATTTGTGTTATATTACATAGATTTAATTTTTCTGGATGAAATGTTATTGTAACGTCATCATAATTAATTTTATTTGTTGTTTTTATTTGATTTTTTTCAATTTTATCAAATGATTTATTATTGTTATTAATATTATGAATAGAATTAGTAAAATAAATTAATAAGCACGAAAAACAATAATTATTTAAACAATTAATATAGGAATAATTATTTTTTAAATTTATTTGATTTGAATTAAGTTTATTATATTTACATTGATTAAATAATAATAATAATAAACGTTTACGAAATGTTTTACCAGTTGCACAAAATAAATAAAAATTCATTGCGTGATTAATATACATAAATAACTCAGCTATTGTATCGATTAGACGTAAATATATTCTTATATTGAATTTATTTTTACCACTTAAATCTAATACTTGTGCTAAAATTTTTATAAATACAATTGTAAATGTTGTAACTAAAAATGAAAATGATATAATTAATAATATAATTGTTAATTGTTTTATATTACTATCATTATTATTATTATTGATTTGTTTATTTTTTTGAATAATTATTGATTTTGTTTTTATTAATGGTGAAGTTGGTAATAATAATTGATTTTTTGAAGACTTTAATGTATAATTATGTATATGTAATTGTTTACGTTGTTTACTTGCATAATATACTGATTTTAATATAATTATATTAAAAGTAAATATCAAACAAAATGGTAAATATGAATATAAAATTGCATCGAATGAAGACCAATACCAATTTAACGAAGAATATTTTGGTAAAATTGAACATTGTTCAAAACATTTCATTTGTTTATTATGATTAATAAATGGGATAGTTAAATTCATTTGTATAGTTCGATTTGTTGTTAACCATGAAGAAGAAGATAATGATGATGATGATTTAGAAAGTTTATGAGAACAATTTGAAGTAATTCCTACTGTAAAACAAAAATGTAAACTTAGTATTGCACATAATATACTCAAAATTATAATAATATTTCTCACACGAGTATAACTAATTAATCGTGAAACATGTAATGGAAAACTAACAACTAATGCACGTTCTGCTGTTAAAGTTACAGTTAACCATACAGATAATAAACTTGATGATGTTCCCCAAAAATGTATCATTTTACACATAAAATTTGATGAATTCTCAAATTTTGTATCAAATATTTTATCAATCCATCTACGTAATAATCCAATAGTTAAAACCATTTCATCAACAATTGAACGTGCAATTAAATAAACAAATGTTGTCACTGAACCAGTTGATGAATGTCTTAATATAACAAATGATAAAATATTACCTAAACTTCCAAGTATAAATATAATCGGTGGTATATACATCCATAATAAATTAATTATATTACATATATATAGTTGTTGTTTAGATATTTGTATTCCTTTTAACTTTTCTGTTAAATTTTTAATATATTCATTTAAAATTAATAATGATGAATTATCATGTTTATTTAAAAAGTAATTCATTCTATTTGCATTAGATTCAGATAGTTGACTATTTGTTAAAATAAAATCAAGACTTTTTGATATGGATATTTTAGAGTTACTACATATATCTTCAATCATTTTCATATGGTATAGAACAAGATTATGCAATCAAGTTGAATAAAGTTTTGTCTATAAGTTAACGTCTATTTAATTATAAATTTAATATATATTAAAGTTTATCATGTTCTGTTTTTTTATTATTTTATTCTAAGCTATTTATATACAGAAAAGTTTATTATAAATTGACCAATCAGAATGTTCCATTGTCGGGAAATAAATAACCAATGATAAGTAAGGAAATAATAGTGATTAGTTTACAGCTAATTATGCTCACCAGTGACTGGCTTCAAGAGGTATATCCTGGAGTTCTAGTGAGAAGTAGTGACCAGTGGAGTTCAACCAGGTCTGTTGTGGGATAGAAACTCACTGAAGACAATGGTGATGTGTCGCTCAATTTCGTGGATTAGTTGAAGTTAGACATGAACACCGTTGGATGCCGGCTCAGTGGTCTAGTGGTTAAGTGCTCGCGCGCGAAACCAGTAAGTCCTGGGTTCGAATCTCGCAGGGGGCGAGGTCGTGGATGCGCACTGCTGAGGAGTCCCACAATAGGACGAAACGGCCGTCCAGTGCTTCCAGGTTTTCCATGGTGGTCTAGTTTCAACTGACTCATGATCTTAATGATTGAAATCACTACAATCTCCACAAAACCCCTTCTGATAATATGTTTACTTGTAAGTTTCATATTTAATAAAATACAGTTTAGTAACTAATCTATTCTATTTATTTTTAATATGAAATCCTATAGAGAGCTAATATCATATACTTAATATGGTATTTCAATAGAAGGAAATACTTATGGAATTAGAACAACACATATAAGCGAACAATTGTTTTCAATTAGATCATCATCAGGCTTTACTCTAATATACAGTAATATTTATACGAAAATGTTAAACCAATCAAGGCAATTTTGGGTCAGTAATTATAATGAAATGGGATAAGTCATCACACATAATAGATAAAAGTACAAGTTGATAGTAGGAAGACAGGTGTACTGATAGTAGGTAAGAATAATAAGATACGATAACAAAAGTCTTATCAATAGTTAAACATTGGGAATAGTAGTTCAAACATGGGTAAATGGAGTAGTTATCACAAAACATTAAAATCATGACGTAATAAGAAGTGTGTAAATAATTAGATAGTGAAGAATGCAAACGGAAAGAGGCGGAATTATTGTATTCATTTAAATACCGATGTCGTACCGATGTTGATCTAAAGCATAATCCTCCTCTAGGTGACGTCAATTTCTTTCTTTGGTTAAATACTTTCGTATCATAATATGTATGAAGACCTGGTTAACATAAACTAGGCAAACTTGAATCGGAATGATTAGTTAAAACGGTGAAACAAAACATTTTCAGAAAGTGCCTGAATTGAGTAGTATCTAACTATATTTTTAAAATATGTGACTTCAGTAGTAAGAAAAGAATTTTAGATAGTTGATATTATATCATTCAATCCAAATAACTGTCTAGATTTAAACTATCATTTAAGGTTTCATCAGAAGAATATTTTACATTGTTTCCTGTTAAAGAAATTATGATTCAATCGAAAATCATATGTACAAACATAGACGAATTGATTTACGTTTCTGAAAACAAAATTATCATTCAGCACTATCAGATTGGCTTTTGACTTATGATTATGTAGAGTTTATGAGCCATCAGTCTAATATACCCTATGAAATAGTTTTAGAATATTTGTTTGATAACATGTATTAGGTGTATGAATCATATATTTTAAAATTATTTTATACATACCAGATATAAAATCTAAGGCGCATTTTTATTAATCCTTTGTAAAGCTTCAAAAAGTGACCACAGCACTCAAAACCTTTGTTCTGTTTCATTTTAGTGTTGAGTATCATCTTTGTTATTTGCTATTTACATTACAACACTTTTCCGAATATTCAGTTTTTACTGCAAACGATTTGTTCAGGTTAGCTGTATAACCCTATTCTAATCCTTGCTAAACTGTTTGATCCTGATTATTTAGGGTAACGAAAAGTGATTTTATAACTCTGGATACATCATTTACAATAAGGGAGTATAAGATAATATTTTAAATTCTTCGATGCTATAATTTAGTCTTCAGTGGGTTGCTTTAGAATGCAATATTATTAGTCATTCTACTTTGCTAATTCACCAGTTATGTACGTTTAACACCACTCTGACATCAATAAAATCACCATCGTGGGTTACACTGAAATCTACATTTTAGTTAAGTGAATCCACATGTTTCCCCTATGTTAAATGGATTTAGCGTGAACCTTGTAATAATATGATGTGCATGCGGATTTGTAACACAATAGATACAGATGGAATATCACATTAGAAAGTCATATTTTATCAATTCTGTTTAACAGAAAAGTAGTAAGATCGGATACTCAAGCTTTGAAAGTACTAAAGGTTATTTATCAAACCGGTGAAAGAAATTTATATGCGACTATTTCAAAAGGTGTATAGTAATATGCATATGAAATAATTATTGTGTAGAAACGTTTCTTGTTAATCTGCAGTTAATATTATTACACAAAATAATTTGAATGATTTGTTAGGTCAACTAAAAGATTCACGACGTACGGGAGATCAAATATTAACCGATGTACCATGATAAAATATTATGATATACTTTTTCAAGAGCTCAAAGGTTATTTAATTTAAAAATAGATTTTGATATTTACAGCAAATGAATAGATGGAAATTATTCAGTTATCAATAATGAAGTAATTTTCTGTTTTCAATAAGATGATGATTTTATTTAGTAAAATGAAAAGAAGAACTAGGAAAAGCAAATTTTCTAATGTTTGTATGATGTAAATAACTCAGAGTATTTGGATGTGACTTCAAATTTTAAAGAATGAATGATTAATGAATCAAGTGTGATGAAATGTATTGAGCCTATAGTTTATGTGAGTATCATTTGAAAAGTTCTCATCATTTTTACGGACTTTATTTACTCAACTAAAGGTATCTTTTATCTAATTTATCCATATACTTTAAACTTCAATTCATTAACAATAGAAATTTGAATATTGCCTGCGAAAGCTTAAGTATATGACTTTAACTCAATGTTGGTTTTAAGGGAATTCACAAGTGACCAAGACAACGAGCTCATTTTTACCTTTTCATTTACTTAACTGTTCTGAATTCTAGTTTACATAAAATCGTATCTGAGTTGTGATACTTTCTTCTCCGAAAAACAAAGTAGTATACCATCTATTTTTATGTATTAATCTTCATAAGCCATTGTTCCTTTAGAAATTTCCAAAGATAATCTGCTTTTACAATTTTGTCCACAATAATTAAACAGCTAAGGGATTCTGCTCATACTTTTCTTTCAACTATCTATCAGAAAATTAAATTGATTGAGCGATTTTCAGAATGATTTAAAAATAGTAAAGATAAACATTTACTGCTCACAATAAGTAAAGAATTAAATTTTCTGACGTTTCGTGACTCAATGATTATTTATTCTCTGAACAAGTGGCTTACACTGAGTCGCGAAACGTCAGAAAATTTAATTTTTCTACACATTGGGATATTGCAAATATATTAATTTATGTATAACAATCTATTCAATGCTCAATTTATTCGAAATCATCAAGTCAAACCTTGGTAATTAAACCTATTAACTACTCACATTCATATTTGTTTGATATAGGCTGACAAAAGATATTTTTATTTTGATATGAGATGTTAATGCAACATGATACTTTTTCTCTTGTTCATGTTCAATGTAATTATTCTAAATTTATTCATTAACTTTATATACTAGTTTAGATCTTATAACTTATTTTGTTTAGTTAACCTGGCAACCGTTCTACAAAAGGAAATCTAAGAATTTTTATGACAAGCCTTAATCTAAGACGTCAACCAAATCGTATGTGATTCATTTACCTAAAGATTGTTGTTTCAACCCATTCATGGATTGATATTATAATAAAAATGATAAATATCTAACCACATGCAAAAGGTAAAGAGCTAACTTTGAAAGCTTTAAAGCCCATACAAAATTTTAAAGCATTTCAACAAAATTATAAAACCAGGATCATATTTTATTCACTAAGTTTGATCAGTTCACACTTAAATGTTAGTTCATGTTAAAATCAACATTCCAATTTTATTAAGAAGATTTATGATCTTAAACATTAAAAAAATTTTAATCCCATGTGTCTGACTAATTATCCACCCACGAGTGTAATCTATTTTAAAGTTTACACAATGGATTGTTAAAAGCAAGTTTATTTTTAGTTGGTTTAACAATTACTGTTAAAATTCATTTTAGTTTAACTTAGTTCTGTGATAAATTTAAATGATAATGACGAGTTAAATAAATAAGAACAAATGATGTCACATCAAAATAATAACAATAAACAATGATTGAAAAACAATAGAGTATTTAATCCATAGAGTTTAAAAACTAGACTGCAGAAAATTATGGTATGTTTATTTCAAAATTCATATGTTACAACAGACAAGTCGTTCATCAATATTTATTTTAAACAGTTTATATCATTTGCTTAAATTTGGGAAACTTTATACTAAATACGAAACTATGTGTCCTATAAAGTTATTTATGTTTATCGAAATACTTATATGTACATATATAGAATACTAATTAGTTCAATAAGTCTAATCAAAATTATATTACACAAATATGTGTGTACAGAAAAAAATCTGATGTGAGTTTTATATATCAACGGCTTGACAAATTCAGTGACCTCAACTAATAAACGAGGAACTTGTGTTGGTCGGTATTTAATATAATCCTTAAAATTCGTATACAGTTCATCCTGATAACCGTCACTTGATAATACCTCAATGGTGTATTAATCAGAAGGAGAATACAAAGTGCTGATGACCAAAAATTACAGATACGGTAACAAGAATGAAAGAGTAGTGTCGAAAAGCAAACGGGCAAGTCAGTGGGTGAGTGAGTGGGCGTACAAGTTGAATGAATGAGCGAGTGAATAGGATTAAAATGTACATATACATACATAGTGAAATGGATGA